CCCTGGGGCAGCCACCAGGTCAGGGACATCAGAACCCGCCGTCTGGGGACCTGCAGTGGCTGAGCCTGGGGTCTGGCCCAGCGGGCGGCAGTGCCGGGTGGGAAGCCAGCCATGTGGTCAGCTCTCAAGGGCTCTTCAGTGCCTGGCCCTGACTCCTGACCTCACCGGGTCTGTGGGCCTCACCTGGGCCCCAGCAGCAGGGGACGCCGGTGCCGTGGTGCTGGGGCAGGGCCTGTGCCTCCACCCTGCCCTGGGTTTCCGGTGGTCTCCACCTGCCCCCGGCCTCCTGGCTGTTGCCAAGATGAGGTGAGTCCTGTTCCACTCTGGGCTCTCGGAGGGCACTGTGGTCTGCTTGCTGCCACACGTCACCAGGTGCTGGGGACATGGAGGTAACCCAAGGTCAGGATGGAAGGGCACCGGGCCTGGGGCTGTGGAAGAGAAGAGATTAGAGCTGGGTCTGTCCACCTCAAGGGCCGGGAAGTGCCCACATAGCCCTAACCAGGTGAAGAGGGGCGTCTGGGAAGGCTGCCTGGAGGTGGTGGCATTGGGACAGGCCCCGGGAGGCCCCCAGGAATGGGTGTGAAGGGGGAGGGAATCCGCCGGAAAGCCAGAAAGGCCGCGCAGTGATGTGAGCAGCACCCAAAGGACTGAGTTGTGTCCAGGCAGAGGATGGGGACAGAGTCCCGGGGAGCAGCCAGGTGCTGGCCAGCGGGGGCGGGGAAGGTGCCACAGGGGGGCCTTGCCCAGGTGGCCTTGGAAGGGCCCAGCTGGTGCCTGGGGGTGAAGCAGGCCAGACAGTGCCCAGCTCCCAGCGCCCAGGGACTCTGAGCCAGGCAGGGGGTCAGGGGGTCACGGGCAGCCAGGGTGGAGGTTGGGTGGTCACAGAGCAGGAGGCGGGATCCTGGCCAGGGTGGGGCTTCCACGGGAGGCAAGACCCGATGCCGTCTTCCATGCACACGTGGTGCCCATGGACCGTCCAGGAGGAGCAGGGCCGGAGGCCCCCAGGGCTGGAGCCTGTCCCCACTGCCCACTCCAGGCAGGACCTCTTGGGAACAGGGACAGGGGTTGATGACCGTGTTACGCACCACGGTCAAGGTCGCAGCGTAGAGTGAGTGCCTGCTGTAAGCCATGTACTGGCCTCAGCACGCCCTGCGAGGCAGGTCCTGTTGGCCCCACTTGGGTGAGATGGAAGCTCAGAGAAGGCAGGTGATGAGCCCAGGGTCGCACAGCAGGGGCCCCAGGTCCCACTCTCCTGGGCCACCTGGCAGAGCTGGGCCTCACTGTCCACGCCCGTCTCTCCCCACAGGGAGCCGCGAGGCCGCCTTCACCTACGCCATCACGGCAGCTGGCGTGGCCCACGCGGTCACTGCCGCCTGCAGCCAGGGCAACCTGAGCAACTGTGGCTGCGACCGCGAGAAGCAGGGCTACTACAACCAGGCGGAGGGCTGGAAGTGGGGCGGCTGCTCCGCGGACGTGCGCTACGGCATTGACTTCTCCCGGCGCTTCGTGGACGCCCGCGAGATCAAGAAGAACGCGCGGCGCCTCATGAACCTGCACAACAACGAAGCGGGCAGGAAGGTGGGTGGCCGCCAGCCCGAGGGGCGGGAGGACAGGGCCCCAGGGGTGAGAGGGACCGGACCCTGCTTCCTGGGGACCTGAAGGTCGCGGAGGCCCAGGCCGCAGCCCCGTGTCCCTGCCCTGGTGCTCCTGGTCCCAGAGGCCACCGCAGGCCAGTCAGGGCTTCCTGGAGGAGCCGTGGG